AGAGCGGAGGTCGGCACGAAGGCACGAGACCTACGAAAGCTAGTCTTCACGCAGACAGCGACAGACTAGTCCCAATGACCAAGTTATACATTAGCACTCGAAGGGAAGTACAACGCTATGGTCACTCACCTAGTCCCAATGACCAAGAGGTCGAGATGGGGACTAGGGAGCGCCTAAGGGGGTTCTTATATACTAGAGGGGCTGCTTAGCAACCAAGGACAAGGCGCGAGAGCGAGGCAGTGAAGATGACAAAGAGAGAACAAAGGGCGAGAAAGAAAAGGCAAGGGCATGGCGATCACGGGAACGTAGCATGCGGCCGTGGGAACGTATCTACAGTGTCCAAATTGGGATGGGCTAGAAAAGGAGATGGTCCGCGAATGGAAGGTGGGCGTCAAAGGGAGGGGAATGGGCGGCAAAAAGGGGCGTCTGTCCAACGTCCGTGACACTCGACGAGCTTCTGGACCCTGCCCAACAAACAAGCCTTGAACAACCAGTCTTCCTCCATGGCAGTCCATACATAACAGTGACCATCCACCCCATGGTAAAGAACCTACAAAGCCGAGGTATTGGCTCTGCGACCATCCTAACTAGAGGGACTATCTGCAACAACCAATTCAGTAACTGCTCGAAGGATAGAGGCTGGTCATACATAGACCAGATTCCGCACGCTTAATGACCGTGTTCAAACTGTCGTTGATTCTTGGCTTGGCCTCCAGCGAGTCCGCCTCAGCGGTGAGCCGGACTAGGGACGTGACGACTTGAGGTGGAAGGGTCGCGAATGTGTTTGCATCAAAGTTCACGCTCTAAAAGTCATCAATAATTCAGCCGAGAACACCATGAAAATGCGCAAGAAAGCAACCCACGTCGACACATTCAAGGAGGGCTATATCTACCGTCAGGTGGACCACAGGTGCATACGCGACCAGCTTGCCGGGGATCCATGTGATTCGCCTCTTCACAATGAGGTGGCTAGAATCACACATGAGGTTCCCCCTGAAAAACAGGATGAACACTAGGAAGTAGCAGAGTGTAGCAACTGACGTACTAAGCGACGGAATTTGAGTCCATCCGCGCGATCTTCGCGACGACGAGCGCGTTACACTTTGCAATCTACTGCACACGAGCACAGCCAAGTTCTGAACTCAGACAGTAAGACAACCACCCAATCACTCACAATATCGTCAGTCTCGTCCAAGGAGAGGTCGCGTGCCCGGATGTCCCTAAGCGAGACGACGCGGGGTTAGCGCTCATGCAAAAAAGCAGGGGATCTCAACTGACGTGTGTGACGTGCCACTGTCGAGCATTACGACCGCCTTGCTTAACGGAGCGCAGACCACACTGGTGGTGAGAGGGACCACGGCGTTGTTGTTAGCCAGGACCATGGCTTCGAGTAGGACTGTCCAGCAAGTGGATGCGGGGAAGGTGGAGATCTTCGCGACGTCCTTGTAATCATCATACTCGCCTCATGAGCAGTACGTTAGAGCCCGATGGAAACAAATATCTCACGGATCGCACCTATTGTGAGGAGCCCTCCACATCCCCGCCAGGCTCCGTCGTCCTCTGGAGCGCGAAGGCGATGAAGTTGGGCTCCTTGGGGTTGTCTGCGAAGAAGTTGTAGAGGAGGACCTGGCCATCTGACTGGCCAGCATTCATGAGCACACTGTCAACGCTTGAGAGCTTGCTCAGACCCAACCCGACGGTGCCATCGACACCGTACAAAAGGATGGCGTTGCTAGCTTCAAATGCATCAATAAAGGCTTGCTTGGACACGGTAACGCTGGACCGAGTATAGTCAGGACGGCGGTGCGTCTGCGAGTATGCCCACGCTCGCTCACCCAGCGAATCGAACGGTAGTGTAAGAAACGTGGCCGTAGGCTGAGCCAATGCCGTATTACGGGGACGTCGTGAGAGGTCTTGCGCAGGGACGATGAGGGAGTACTCGAAAGAGGGATGGCGATAGATATCAAGTGAAACATACAACAGATCATGAAACGAGCTGTCGCAGAAGGCGCAATTAAGATTCTTGGTGTACAGGGACAATAAATCATACCTCAGGTCAACATCGTCTCCGTCGCCGGAAGAGGTTGACGAAGCGGCAGCAACAAGTGACCGGTGGGTGAAAGGAAGTCTTGTCAGAACGCTTCTGGAGGGAATGATGCGGCCGCTTGCGCTGTGTGAAGGAGATCTTGGTGGCTTGCGACGGAGTACCGAAGAGAAAGAGACTGAGGGCGAGGGAGGATGAGATCGCGGAAGATTTCTGGTGGATGATGGACGTTCAACGCGGGGTTCTAGGAGCACGTCCGCTTAGACAAGTACGTCCTATGTCGAGTGCCGACGTGACGAACTGACCTTCTTGAACGCGTTGGGAGACAGGAAGACACGTGCAAAATGCTCAGCCACCAAGCGGGAAAGTCGAGCGGCGAGCCATCATGTGTTCGAAACAGCTCCTGCACAACAGCGTGGGGACCTCAATGGCCACGGTAGGTGTGCAGTAGTCTGCAGTGATGGTGAGTGGAGCAGCATGCAGAGGGGGATGAAACGAGGACACGGAAGGCTATGTGCTTCCTAGTCACCTGGCCTGTCTTCTCCCCCTGACCACTCTCACTCGCAGTCTCCGCCTTTCTACGCTCTGTGCGTGCACAACCTTCCTCAAGCTCCCTGTTCGCCTTCCGAGATTTGTCGAGTTGTTGCTGTACCCACGCAGTGGCCTTTGCCTCCTTGTCGAGCTTCTCTTGGGTGAGAGCCTTGCCTGGTCGACCACATCTTCTTGTGTATTGCTATACAAGAGCACAATTATATCGGCTTGCATATAGCACAGCGAGGCTCCACGCTATAGAGCGGAGGTGAAGCAGGGCAAAGATGCGAGATGGAGGTGCTTCCTGATCAAGCTTCGACGTGTCGCGACGCGTGGTGGGCCTGGTGGCAGATCTGGCGCACGTCAGCCTGAGCTGATCGCGCCCTCCTTGTATTTGGATTACCGACATCACCAGTCTCCTCATTCTCCCTCTGAAGTCAAGCATAGGTGCTTCGTCACTCTAATAGAACGAATATGAATCACTTTGGAGGAATTCCATCGAGAGCCTCCGGAGGTCCGATGGATGTCGTCCTTGCGGGCGCCTCATGGATTTGCATAGGCAAATAGCGTCGAAGCGGTGCTACTAGCCCTCGCCTCCTATACACACGGCAGGCATTCCCATGTTCCCGACCATAGAACAGGCGACGAAGCGGGAGGCAGGAGACGACCCCCCGCCGAACGGCCCAATTTTTCAAAGGCTTTCGTTCAGAAAAGCCATATATTGATGAATGGCCGCTTACCTCGTGAGTCGTGCCTCTCCTATTCCACTGAATCGTTGATCAGGCGGACACTCGTAGCTTTATGGGGAAAAGTGTGTAGCATTAGGCCACAAGAACGTCTTGCATCGTTCTATGGTTCGTAGAATATTCCGGATGAGCACTTAGAAGCCGCTACCCGAGTTTGAAGACCGGTTACCTGTTTACACCTGCATGTTCAAACCCGTGCAATCACTACGGTTTAAACTTTATACTCATGCGCATTCCCGCAGGCGCTCAATCATTTCGATGGTCAACCACCCTCCAAACGTTGGAAAGCGTACATTCTTTCTTTCTTTCTTTCTAGATCCCGTTTATTGCCCTGCGAGGCCGCGCCTCATGGTAGGCCTTAAACTACAAATACTATCGACGTGAGTAAGAAGTGGGTGTTCGGCTGTACATGGTGAGCACAAGGCTCGAGCTAACTAGGGGGGTGTGGTGGGAAAGTAGCGGTGGCGAACGGGGCAAGGGGAAGTGCTAGGCGATGACCGGAAGGAGGGGTGCAAGGGTACACTAGTGGTGGAATGGTGAGTAGCAGGGCGCAGCACCTATGCGTTGTGGCCGCCTGTCCACCCTTGGCCAGTGAAGGCTAGGGTACGGGTTGCAAACCTGCCGCCCAATGGGTACGATTGCGTCCCTGGGACCCGCCTCTTGCTGCGGTCAGGAGTACGCCCGGCGGTATCCCCGCCGTTCGTCAGAACTCCCCCGCCCCTAGAGCGGGCAGATGCCCGCAACGCATAGGTACAAGGGATCCATTGTCTCGGATACATGCATGACCAGCGGGTATATGTAGGGACACTGTATCGTACTGAACGTGTGTGAGTGTAGCCTGGGAAAGTGTAAGTGTCGTTAGTGCAGTGGTCCGTGCGCGAGAAATTGCTGATGAGGAGGGCTCAGTGTCATGGCTTGGTGCGATGTGGACCGGTGCTTGCCTCTCTGCTGTAAAGGGGTGCCTCCGAAGGGCTCGTCTGCCTTCATGTCGAGTTGGGTATGCGCGGCTT